GAATATTATTTACATAATTTACTACGTATATATATATATATATATATGTGTGCGTGTGTGTGTTTATATATATATATATACATATATATACATATATACATATATATATACAAATATATATATATATATACATATATATATATATATATATATGAATGAAATATACATTATGTATCCAATAATATGGTGAGGAACAGCTGCGTACTGTGTACATTACAATGCACTTACGGATTCTTCGCCGGACGATTCGAAAGTTTCAATGACGACGAATGTGCCTTCAAAGGTCTGCCGTTGGGTAATTTTAGAGATTCGTGAGACGATTTGATAGAGACAAATGAGCAAAAGTAAGAGAGACAGATGAGTAGGTAGGTATTTGTTGTAGCAACTTGCAGAAGTTACGAATATACAGATGCCCTAGATATAGCGGGGCAGTAGTACATACGTCTTTTTCAAATGGCGACGCACAGCTTAGATGAAAAATGAGTAGTACACAACGTCTGAATAATCTCGCAGGGTATAGGGCTTCACAAAGATCCTCTTCAAACATGCAAGTTGCTTATGAGAAGGTCAGAAAACAGGACAAGTACCTGCTAGTCCTAAATATAATATCTTCTCTCGTAGCAGCCGTCGTCATTTTCTGCGACGCTTACACGCTAAATTTATCGAACTATCTGTTCAATCAATCATTTTTAGAGTCTTTCGGGCTTCAGAACATACCACAAACTCTCTGCCCTACCAAACTATGCATAAGGCCTTTATACCAGCATATTTCGTTATAGAGTATCAGGGTTTTTAGTGTTTTAGGACATATCACATTACCCTCCCAACCAAACATTCTAGACATCAAACCTATAGAACGGTATATATCGTTTAATCGTTACAGTATGATTAGGGTTTTAGAACATACCAAACTATACCACCGAACCAAACATACCATATACATAACCCCTATACACCGGCATATTCTGTTCCTGATAAACATACCGAACTATTATACTATCCCTCTAGCCAACCCTCACATACTTGCATAGCACTTACATACCTCACCCGGGCCTAGAGGCACGTCCGTATCGGTTTGCTTCGGGACAACAATTGTTCGTACGTTCATGTAGGGCACTCTGAAAGTGACATCGGCTTGATACCTAGCGGTGTGCTCGTTGTCGTACTTCTCCACCAGATTGGTCACATTCGCCTTCCCACTCATTTGCGCCGTCACGACGAAGTCACACCCTTAGGTGCGAATATGAGGTGCGTATGAATTATGGCTCGGTACACCAAGTGGTCGTCAATACATCCATGTGTGTGGCCATTGATTAATAATTATCCCAGCTCAAGCATGAATAAACCTCGGGCCTAAACCCTAAACCCCTCAACTTCTAGACCCTAAATCCTCAATCACTGGCTGGCCAGAAAAGGGACAATCTTCGCAGCATCTGCAATACCATACTACACAACACTAATGAGGCACACCGTTGGTAAGATTCAAAACTTGCGCGAAAAAACTGCCACAGAAGCCATTCTTAGCAAAGTAACATTATGTAGGTG